GCTGAAGCAAAATGCCAAACCCTAGTTTTGGACAAACTCGTGCTCCAACAAGAGCTACGGAAGCAGCAACAAAAAGATGAGGATAATGAATCAAAAGGCAGTCAATCTAACAAACACTTAACCTCTTCTGACTCCGAAGAAACCATTGTTCCATCTCCGAATTCAGACCCTATTATGATGCCGCCGGCACCATTGTCATCACCGCCGCCACTGCCACTGGCTGCTTTGAAATTGGGAGCTATGAAGCCGTTGCCGGAAAAAGGGAGGCTACTTCAAGCAGTGATTGAAGCCGGACCGCTGCTTCAAACCCTTCTCCTGGCTGGACCGCTGCCTCAGTGGGAGCACCCTCCTCCCCAACTAAAGTACATTGAGATTCCACCGGTTGCCATTTCTCCTCCACCACGGCGACTTCAACACCATGACTCTTGCAATTGTAGCGGTACTAGTTGTTTCGGTCACAAGAGAAGTTTGGTAAGCTCTGATGATTCTGGTTCTGATTCATCACCCAACACCAAGCGCCGAAAGCTTGTTCTCCATTGACCAACATTTTGTGCGTTTTAGTTACATAATTTTCTAAGGCTGCACATCCTTTTCATACTGTCAAACATGCAAGGGCAGCAGTATGGAATGGATTGCTACAATCCATATCAGTTAGAATTTTTCAAACATCCATCTTAGAAATGAAAATCATAGCTTCTTTAGGTTCGTCTGATAACTATTTTGTTTTTAACTTTTAACTTGGAGGAAGACTTGAATGATTCAATCTTCTCTTCTCAGAATTTAGTTGCTCTAATTCTCTAGTTAATGTAAAATTAGTGGGAGCTATAGCCTCCAATTAATGTAGAATCACATTTTGTGTGTGCCTTTGGTATATTGGGGATGATCAAAAGTGACAAAATTTCGGAAAATGTTATGATCTAGTTTAAGGCCATAATTGTGCTCATGCTATTTCTTCTCACTTTTTTGCTTTTTTTCTTGGTACATAAAAGTAGCATAATTATTGTGACAAATAATCATAAATCTCCCAGAGATTTTTTCTTTTTATGAAGCATGCATACCTACCATTCACCTTCACTGTGAGTGTCTGCCATAATCCCACCAAAGACATCTATAATTAGATTCTTTGTTATCATGACTAATGCATTTGCACAAACCATACCTTAAAAAAAAAACCCGATCAATTAAAAAAGGTTTTTTTAATTTTTTATTTTAGTTAAAATGGTTTTTGAGATTGGCATAACCTCTTAATTTAGTTTCTAACAATAAAAATTGATAGAAGTGATCCATGTAAACGTCCACCGTAAATTATTTTGGTCCTTCCATGAAAGTCTGTCAATATCCTCGTTACATTGTCACGTAAATGACTACTTGACCACATTTTTAAGGGTGTTTTTGTCAAACCTACCCATCCACTTAATGAGGATATTGACAGATTTTTCACAGAATGACCAAAATGATTTACGATGGACAAACACAGGTACCACTTTTATCAATTTTCATTATCAAGGACCAAAGTGGAGTTATACTAATCTCATAGACTATTTTAGCTAAAAATTAATTAAAAAAAAGAAGAAGAAAGAAATAATGAAAAATGATCTCAAATAGCACTATTACGACAATGTTCTCAAGTCGCAATGTTGTTGTAGCAAATCAATAGCAATAATACTTTTTTATGGTATACCAAGATTATCTTCTATCAGATAATATCAGCATCATATCGCGATGATATCGATATTTGAGAGCTTTTATCATAAACCTTCATAGCCAGCAAAGGTTCAACAGGAAACTAAGTTCACACAGTAAGATCAAATTTGAACTGGAATGTTTGTACAATAATATGGTTCACTTGGAGGGTTTGGTTTAGACTAATGAAGTAAGTCAATGAAATTAAAGGAAGTAATAATATATAATGTTTATGGACGTTGCTTTCTTATTTTGAAACCATTGAGCCATACGAGCATCATGAACTAACATGCTCATTGCTCAGTGAGAAATCTGACAATAAGGTCCCATACTTTTTGCAAGGGTAATGGTCTACTCAACAACATATCAAATTTTCTCTAACTTCAATTTCTATTCACTTTTACATCAATCTAAAAAATTGTGCACAAATAAAACCAATAATAAAATTTTGATCAAAACAAGAAATGGAAACACTATAATAAGCTGTATATAAACGACCAGGAAGTGCTTTCTGTTATATATTTAGTGTTTGTCCGATTCCACTTTTTTTTTTTTTTTGAGAACTGGAAATAGAATAATCAGGGCCGAAGCCAAAGGAACACGAAGCCCACCCAAGGGGGAACAACACAGAAAGCAACAAACATAGAGCAGGGGAGGGCGTACAGAAGCAAAGACGCTGCACCAAGTGCCAAGCGTCGGCCCCTCAACTGCAAAGAAACCAAAAACTAGGGAGGGCAAAGAAGCCCATCATTGTCCGATTCCACTTTTGTTTAAAAGTTAGTAGCCAATTTTATTGTGCGTATTTCCCATCAATCCATTGTCACTGTCGATTGGTATGTGATCACATGCTTTGTAGGTCAGTTTGTATTTAACATTCACGAGCTAAAGTGTACATAATCGGGACATTACGAAAACGAATATTATGCACAAATTTTAACGTTAAAAAAATAGTAGGATAATATCGATGGTAGATATATAGAGAGCATTGAGATGCGTGAAAACTATTTTTAAAGTGCAATCTTTTCTTTCAAAAGCAAAGTTTTTTTTTTTTTTGTTTTTTTTTTTGGGGCTCAATATGTAGCTTTACGAGCTAAAATTGTTATGGACCCTAATGAAATGAATATTAAATTACTTGAAAATTATTATTAGCGTTCCAACTGGCATGATATATATATATATATATATATATTTTTTTTTTTACCGTGCATGATAAAATCATTAGTTTGTTGCTAGGCTAGAGCAAAAATGAAACGGTAATTTAAATGTCATTTAACCTCTTGAAATATTATTTCAGTTGAAATTGACCTCATGAACTATTTTTTTGGTAAATTAATCCCCTGAACTATTTGAAATAAGTCAATTGACTCATTGTCGGTAGATTCCATCCACTGTTTCATCAAATTCAAAGGAAAATTAGTTTTTTCCTTCATCAATTCTTACTTGTCAACTATAACCAACAATGTAATTATAACATGTGAAAACAAAATAATATGTAATGGTCCATTATGTAAACGTTTGGTTTTTTATGTTTTCTAGTTATGCTATATATTTTTGAATTATTTTGTGTATGTTTCAAAATTTTATTGGTGGTTATAGTTGACAAGTAACAATTAATGATGAAATAATCAAATTTCCCTTGAATTTGACGGAATTGATTCCGCAATCTAACGATAAGAGGTTAATTGGCTGATTTTAAATAGTTCAGGAGGTTAATTTACCAAAAAAATAGTTTAGGGGGTCAATTTCAATTGGAGTGATAGTTTAGGAGGTCAAACCGCAATTTACCCCTTAAAATAACATCGTCAATGGTAATTTAAAATAAAACAGTAGAAAACAATTTACAAGAAAAATGGAAGAATCTGAAGAAAAAAAGCAAAGGGTTTTTATCACAAATCGTCCCTGAAATTGACCCATTTCATCAAAACAGTCATTGAAATTGAAAATCGATCAATGTAGTCCCTGAAAATGGATGTTGCAAATAAATGTGGTCCTTCCGTTACCATTTCGTAAAAAACTCTGTTAAGTGATGTTGTGGCACTTAAATGGATCTCACAAATTTAATAAAATATTATTTTGTGAATAAAAAATATTTAAGTAATAAAAAAGTTTTTTTTTTAAAATAAAAAACTAAAAATAAAAAAAGCTTGCTCTGCAACAACCATGGCGCTCATAGTCTTCTCCTCCTCCTCCCCTGCCGCTTCTTTCAAGTTCAGCACTTCCTGGTGGGGTTGTGTTTGGCTGTGATTACATTTGCAACAGTGACGACGAATGCAAGAAAGGCTCAAACGTCGGTGTTAAACTCCTCGAGCCAAACAACAGGGTTAAACGCCTGTTGCACTATGCAACTTTCCTCCCACAGTTTAATGATTCGGGTCTGATTGATTCGAAGCAGGTCATGGGTTGCACGGCTCGGGTGTGGCTGCAGGTCGAGATGGATGAGGAGGGCAAGATGAGATTCACGGCTGACAACAATTCCTAAATCACCAGGGGCTTATACTCCTGCCTGGTTTTGGTGCTCGACGACGTGTTGCTGGATGAGGTGTTACGGGTCAAGACCCATGTCTTGTTGTCACTTAGTGTGGGATTGCCGGGCCCACAGAGGAAGCATCTTATTCTTTTTTTTTTAATTTTTTTTAAAAAAAATTTCAAGTCTTAAAAAAAAAAAAGGAAAAAAGAAGAAGAAGAATATGAATTGTTCATCTTCTTCTTCCCTTCCCATCCGAGCAACCTAGACAACCCTCCCCACCCAGTCGCACATGAAACCGCAGTGATGACAAGAAAGGGTCAAAGCAGTAGTTGACAATATTGGGAAGGAGGGAGAGGGAGGAGAGCTTGGACTGGTAGTTTTGGACGCAAGAAATGGGGGTGGGGAGGTTGGGGAGTTGGAAGAGGGAGGTTTCTTTGAGGCATTGGGCCGTCTGTTTGGCTGTGATTACATGTTCGACGGGGTGGGGTGAGGATTGGGGTGGTTGCTCCTGTGGGAGGCGAAGAAGAAGACGAACTTTTCATCTTCTTGTTTTTTTATTTTAATTTTTAATTATATAAAACTTAAAAAATTATTATTTAAACATTTTTAATCCACATGGTAATATTTAATTAGATTTGTGGGACCTATTTATGTGCCACGTCAGCACATAACAGAAATATTGATGGAATTCTAAGGGAAGGACTACATTGATTTGCGTCATCCATTTTCAAGAATTACATTGATTGATTTTCAATTTCAGGGATCATTTTGATGGAGTAGGTCAATTTCAGAGATCATGTATGATAAAAACCCAAAAGCAAAATTTAGAGCCTCACAATCACACCCTCTTTCTCTGAAATTCTCTTAAAACAAAAAGCCAATGCCTTTATTATATTCGTCTCCAATTCTTTTTTACCCGCCACCACCAACCGCTCCAACGACCATACGCCACTTCCCTCCTCAACGCCTCGCCACGTGTCCTTCATCCTCTCTACGGCGCCGTTTCGCCTCCGAACCAAACCCCCTTCCACTCCACTCTGCCGAGGTTTTCAGAAACCCCAATTGGCAATGCAATGCAAGCCGTCTTCCTCCGTATCAATGTCGGCCGAGGAGCAGTCCACTTCGACCTCCCAGGTTTCTTATTCTCTCTCTTGCACCTAAAACCTGTCGAGAATTTCTACATTGTTTTTCCGTAAATTTCGGAACCAAATGTTGCATTAGAATTTGCTGGCAAAAAAAATTAGGGGTGACAAATAAAAATATGAGAAACTTGTGTAAAAGTAAGATTAAGGAGTTGTTGTGGGTTTTGATTAAAGGATTAAACTTTGTTACTGTTGTGATAAATTTGCATTGTGTATTGAATTTTGTAGAATTTATTTTATTCGAGCGATATTCTAATTTAATCCAAACTACGGGAGGGAGGGGAATTCGGAACAATTTCCATGTTAGTGCTAAGTTATGATCTTGTAATGCCTGTGCAGAGGGGTGATCAACTGCAGGGTGGTTTGTTGTATTCAAGGGCGTTCTGGGTTAGTGAATCCATTATTGCCTGGAATGTGGATGTTTGAAATGGTTCCTGCTACTTATTTGCTAGTAAAACTGCTGCTTTATCTTGTTCGAGTGATGGAATTATAGGTAAGGACTTTACTAATTCTTACTTCAAGTTCGAGTAATGGAGTTCATGATTAAATCATAAAATTGTTTAATGGGACTTCTGTGCTAGCAGGTGAGGATATATAAGTAAAGCTTGAAGAAGGTAAACACGGGCTTCCGGAAAATGTAAGATGTTATGTTATCTGTAGAAGCAGTTTCATGGAGCCTCTTATTGCTGTTTTTCTCAATGTAACTTTTGAAGAAGTTTTGAAACTTCTTCGAACTGGCACATGTATAAAATGATTTTTGTTAGGTGAAAGAAAAATTTCTACCTATCAAAGATTACAGAGCTTTTAATGTGTCCCCTGATTTGGACGCCAAACCTCTTCTCAAATGCCAATTGGCAGTTGCCACTTTCGATTGTAAGAATGTTTTTGCATTTGTTCTTTGCCAGTCAGTTTTATCAATGCACCGCTAGATAAACTGTTTTGTCTCCCTAGACTAAATACAATGAATTCTGATCAATTAACTTTTTGTTTTAAATTTTCAATCTGTAGCCTTACACATGAGAGGAGTATCGAGGTGTGCATGCGATTGAGAATGCTGAAGTAGATAAAATCATAAAACTCACCAATTCTAACAAATTAAGTTTTGAAGATTCTTAGTTTTTGGTAATTTAATTGTTTTATGGTAGTCACCCGTTTATGCTAAAAGTTATTCGTGGACCATTTAAAGTGATTTAACTATAGTTGGCATTGCTGTTTTACATAACTATTATCTACTATCTTTCAGATTGAATATGTAATTAAACTCCCATCAGAATCCTGACTAATTATTTCCAGTGTCCTTTAAACATACATCAGATACTGTTTCGATTTACGTTTAAATTTTCTCTGATCTTGGATCAATATTTTTATTTTCTTTGTTTTGGTGCTACTGCTACATAAGCTTGGTATTTCTTGAACACACAATTTCTTTTTATGACGGAACATAGTCATCACAGTGAGTGTGTTTTGTGAAAATCTTGACCAGGTTGAGTGCCAGCTGTAAAGTGGGCTTAGTCTGAGTATCAGCAGTTTATGAACTTTAGTCAATCTGGAGTCTAATATTTAGATGCTTACATTTCGTTCAGGATGTTATTGCATTGTTCATGTTGATGCTTTAAAGGTCAAATGACGATAATTAACATAGCAAAATGATACGATTGACAACTACATTTGTTTTCAAGATCAATTATGTTTCTGCGCATGACAACGAAACTCTGTTTGACATCGTGACTCTTAAGGTATGTGTACTTCTGCAGTATTTATTGGACTTCAGACTGGTAACTTCTTGTCTAACTCAGTCCATTCCTTGTAGACTCCTATGGAAATTTCTTTAGAGGAGAGATTCAGGATAAATCACTTGGCGACAAGTATAATAGCACTTGGACAGGTCTTAACTTGTATATAATGTTGGTGAATGAAAAATTCATGTATTTTTCTCTGTTCTTTGGATAATGTATATTTTACACTGTTGCATTGACCATACGTTATCAAGTGTTTGTAGTATACTATAACATATAAAGTGACAATTATGAAATGGCAGGCTGCTAGGATTACTTTTAATGTTTATTAATTCATTTTTCTGTAGTTCATTTCTGGGATATTGTATGACCAATCAGTATTTAAACGATGAGCTGCTTCGGTCAAAATCACTTGATCGTGACTCATACAGTTCTGGTGATCGGTTCAATAGGTCAATTGCTAATCTAATTCCCAAGTTAAGAGTCTTAGTTATAGTTGTTACATAAGATTTCAAGATTTTAGCTGATCGCATATTGAGCTGCTAGAATAAATGTATGATCTTCTGCATTGTAATGCTACTTCGGAGTTACAAGTTGAATGCTTTCTGTGATCCAAGAATAAATTCCACTCCTATAGTCCTATGTCATGTTTTCTGATTGAGTAATCCATGCCTGCTAGAACATGTCTGTGTCTTTCTCAAATATAACGTTTGGGGTGTTGGCCTTCCTCCAAAAGAGAAGAACGAACACTGCTGGCCGCTGTAAGCACTCGTGTATTTCCACAATCATTTGATCGTATGTATTTCTTAGTGATGTTGACAGGTGATGCAGAAACCTCTGATAATGGTGTGTCTGCTATAACATGTCAAGTGATTATATTTTGGTTCTGCTTCTTTTTTCTTTTTTTTTTTTTCAGAATGAAACCAAGGTTAGCAGATCCATCCTTTTAAGCCTCAGAAGTCGCATCATCCTCGCTGCTGTGGAGAACTTTTCAAGTTTGTTACGTATTACTATTAGGTACTGTTCGCCACTTTTCCGTTTGAGGACGGCAAATGTTATTCAGGTGAGAGGCCTGGTGATGTAAATTTAAATTAACCTAAATAATAGATTAATTTAAACCAAATTAAACTCCCAAGTAATTAATGAAACAAACTAGGAAAGAATCCTTCTTGACTTGGGAAATACGGCATCTGACTTGCACGCCAGATTTGGGGCCGATTTATCTTCTGGAAAAATCTGTGAAAATATGGAAAACGTAGCTTTATCTCTTATCTTTCCAGGCATATATCGCACGTCACTAGGAAAAATCGGGAAAGCCTCCAAATCTTCATTCTCCCATAGCTGTGCAATTCAGACGGGAAAGTTACTTCTGCGGGATTGATTTGTAAAACTGGAACGTTTGGCTCCATGAAAAATTACGAAATTTGGATACAATGATCTTCCACCTCTTAGCTTCCTTCTCCAATTAGCTTTGCATCAAAATTCCTCCAAAAAGTTGAATTATCCCCAAAAATGTTCTAAGTGCGCAGATTGGCTGAAACTGAGAAAATGAAGGTAATAAGGCTCTTTTATAATCAATTCCTTAACAAAACTTAGGGTTAATTAATATGAAAATATGATAAATAATGCACCTATCACCTGGCATCTGTACTTATGTTCCACTACAAAAGTTTAAAATTTTTTCTTGGAATTGACATTTCCAATAAAAAGTGCTAGGCTTGTTGCATAGTAAACGCTATGAGCCGACCCATCTCTTTTAGAGATAAACCAAATTCACTACCAAGTTTTAATACATAATATTCAAATTTTCAGGAACGGGTACGTTTCTATAATACTGGTCCTTCATTTCTCCCTGGAGTCATAGTAGTTAGCATTGAAGATGGTCATGAAGGCGTGCCAGGGCTATCTCAGCTGGATGCAATGTCGGTAGAATAGCACCAGAGATTTTCTGCATAACATCTCAAGCCTAAAAAAAGATTCTGAATGATGAGATCATACCTCCTGATTTAGTTGTTTATTTTTATGAGCTCATATCACTAGAATTTGCTTTAAAGATAGGCCTCCTTGATTTGTTTTCTTATAGATCTTTAATATGAACTTGTTGCAGCTAACGTCAACGGATGAAATAGTTAAGAGATCTGCGTATGATGCTTCCTCAGGATGCTTCACTGCGCCCCCAAGAACTACATCTGTGTTTGTTAAACCTCGGGAAGTTTGAGTAGCTCTGCCGTAGACATGGTGTTCTGCGGAGAATGCGTTAAATCTCTTCAATGAAGGACATGACATGGTACTTCTTTGGGTGAGTTAGTAACTCAGAAGAGTGTATAAATTACTCCTTCTACTGCACAAATCAGAAAAGAGGAAGTGGTTGTAGCTTTGAAAAAGATGAAGTAAAGAAAAGCAGTGGGTCCCGACGATATATCGATTGAAGTATGGAAGGTCTTGGGAGACATGAGTATAGCATGGCTAACAAACATTTTCAATAAGATTTTGAAAATGAAGAAGATGCCCAGTAATTGGCGAGAAAACACTTTGTTGCCTATGTACAAGAATGAGTGCGACATACAAACTTGCATGAACTATAAGGGTATTAAGTTAATGAGTCATACAATGAAGCTCTGGAGAGATTAATTGAGCTACACAAGTCTCATAGAATCAATTTGGGTCAATGCCAGGGCGCTCGACAATGGAGGCAATCTATCGTTTACGAAGATCGATGGAGCGATATAGAGATATGAAAAATGATTTGCACATGATCTTTATAGATTTGGAAAAAGCGTATAATAATGTCCCAAGAGAAATCCTTTACAAGTAGCATATATTCAAGCAATAAGGAATACGTATGACGGAGTAAGGATTGTAGTAAAACTCATGAAGGACAAACTGAAAGTTTTCCCATAACTATAGAGTTACACCAAGGCTCAGTTTTAAGTTCTTACCTTTTTGCATTGGTAATAGACGAGTTAACGAGACATATACAAGATGATATTCCTTGATATATGCTTTATGTAGGTGATGTAGTGCTACTAGATGAACCACAGGAAGGAGTAGATGTGAAGCTAAACCTTTGGCGGAAAGTGTTGGAATCTAAAGGTTTTCACTAAGTAAGTCAACAACAGAGTATATGAAGTGCAAGTTTAGTGAGAATGAGGGTGCAAATGAGTTAGAGGTGAGGAATTGGAGACCATGAAGTATTGAAGAGTGAATGCTTTCAGTATCTTGAATCTATCTTGCAAAATAATGGAGATTAGATGTAGATCTCAACCATAGAATACAAGCTGGATGGATGAAGTGGATGTGTGCATTGGGTGTGTTGTGCGGCCATCTTATGCAACTAAAGCTCAAGAATTTTATTTTTATTTTTTATAGGATGACAATAAGGTCAGCGATTCTTTATGACACAGAATATTAGGCGGTCAAAAAGTAACACGTGCAAAAAAATGAGTATAGCGGAGATGAAAATGCTTCGTTAGATGTGTGGCCTCATGAGAAAAGATAGGATTAAGAACAAGGTTATCCGAGGTAAAGTAGGAGTAACCGAAATTGAAGATAAAATGAGAGAACATCGGTTAAGATTGTTTTGACATGTGAACTGAAGACCTACATATACTCCGGTTAGACAATGCGATTAAGAGTCGGAGGCTCACGGCAAAAAGGGTAGAGGAAGACTTTAAAAGAGACTATAAGAAAAGATGTGGAGTACTTGGAGCTAGCAGAACATTTGGAGCAAAACTTAGCACAATAGCGTTCTAGAATTTATACAGACAATCCTACTTAGTGGGACAAAACTTGATCATTGTTGTTGTTGTATTTAAAAAAAATTAAAATAAAAGGTTAAAATTTTTGGATGGGATGTGTTAACACCGTTACTCATAAAAATTCAAGAATCCAATCTTTCTTTTAGCCTTAATCTTTTTTTTGGGATAATAATTTATATTTACAAGAAGAGAACGTTTAAAGATAGAAGTTTGATGAAAGGTGTTTTCGAAAAAGAAAAAAAATAGTTGGATGAAAGGTGGTGATGGACCAAAATAATTCTTGTTAAGATGTCAATT